CCAATTTCGCAATTTTTAGCTATTCTTAAACAAGGTTTATGCCACTTGAAGAAAAAATACATAAAATATCCTTACTAGAATGAATGCAAACAGAACTATAATAACTTGAATTTAACTACATTGAGAACTGATGTTGGACCAGAAAGTTGACCAAAATTATGCATGACAAATGGCATTATGTTGATGTTACTAATTTTACAACAACACTTATTAAGTCAGCCTTCAAAATAAATGATTTATTTTGCTAGCATAACTGAGCCACAACTCCCTAGTGTAACCGGAAACACTGCCGCAAAGTTGAAATATTTACGGGTAGCATTCCGACTTTGTATAGACTTTTGTTCTGATCCTAAACACAAGGGCTAAAGAGTCGCTCTTTGGTCCGGCTCCAAATTCCCTTACGTTGTAGAAAAAAGTAATTAACACAATGAAATTTTCGTAGTATACTGGTAATCTTCAGGCAAATACAAGTTTCTTCATACAAGGCGCACAATTTGTTATTCTTCTTAATCCAAAAGTTTGTGGAAAAAGGTTTGACATTTCAGGGGTACTAGCAGCCAAAAAACCACACAGTATGAGCCCTAATACACAGCTGCGATTAACAAAATGGATAGCAAATTGCATGGGAACTAACCGCACCGAGATGCCACAACCAGCGGCAGAGACTAGGGGTTCTAGCCCTAATACACCGCTAAATCACCAAATTGTACAGCAAATGGCACGGGAACTAACCGTACCAATATGCCAACAACAAACTGCAGAGACTAGGGCTTCTAGCCCTAATACACTGTCAAATCACCGAAAAGTACAGCAAATGGTTCGGGAACTAACCGCACCGAGATGCCGACTATGAACCGCAGAGACTAGGGGTTCTAGCCCTAATACACTGCCAAATCACAAAAACGTACAGCAAATGGTACAAGAACTAACTGCACCAAGATGCCAACTAAGAACTGCAGAGACTAGGGGTTCTAGCCCTAATACACTGCCAAATCACAAAAATGTACAGCAAATGGTACGGGAACTAACCGCACCAAGATGCTGACAACAAACCGCAGAGACTAGGGGTTCTCGCTTTAATACACTGCCAAAAACACAGAGATAAACAGCAAATGGCACGGGAACTAACCGCACCAAGATGCTAACAACCACACAAGAATGGGGTGGCAGTTACGCCTCAAAAGCATGACTATTGGAGGGTACGAGCCCCCAACAAGCCGCTGACAATCAACTCGAGCGCAGAGGTTATTAGTCTCTACCTCGAGGGTGCAAATTGAATGGCTGTTAACCGCCCAATGCAGCCAAAACCTGGAACTATCCAAGAACTCTACCTACGCCGTTATTAGTCCATTAGAGGAACTCATTAAGAGTTATGCCCAGAACTGCAGTGGAGTTTATTCTTGGAAGCCCAAATTTGGCTCTGCCTGATTTGAGTCGAAACTGTGTCACCCCAACCCAGCAACACTGAGCACACACAACGAGGGGGTAACTCAGCCAAAATGAGCTTACCTCAACACTTTGTTTACAATGTACAAGAAATGGGCTACTAAATTCGTCTATATGCAAAGATATAGACAACATAGTATATTACAAAAAATAGAATCACAATATAATCTTTTGGTCCAATAATGATAAGTGAAAGTTGATTTAAGATAGAATAACTTGAGGATAATTACTCGCGAGCGCCTGAGTTGATACCAGTTCGTCAATAGACTAGACAAATGAATATTGACTAAGCATTATCAAATATAATGTGAAGTACTATCACCTAATAAAATCATATTAATAAAGAGTTTAACATTTGGACGACATGACTATAAGTTATAATCGACTTCTTATAATAAAACATCTACCTCTAAGATGTCTAGCTTCCTTATGCAAGATGGTGATGTAGCATCTTTAATTAATGATTGTATCGTCTATTAACAACACTTATCTTGGTACAGTACAACTGTAAATCGTTACGATTATTGCAAAAGATAAAGTCCTTCGACAAAACAATGGCACATTAGAGTGAATAAATCCTAAACTAATTCCAAAGTAACCAAACTCTCCATTGTTCAAGACTACATAGCACGCGTTATAACTAGGTCAGGAGCGACTCAACCAATCACGTTGGAGCTGCACCTTGTCTCGTCCCAAGACACTAACTAAATCCTACAAACACCACAGCTAGACGAGATTCCATATTATGGTCACGAAACAAAAATATGCTCACACATTCCTTAGTCATACAAAATAATATCACAGTAACGAGATCCCAAAAAAATATATGCAATCACATTGAGTCACTAATCTAGCATAAGAACATTATCAACATAACACGTGGTCAACAGGGTACTCCTAAACATGAAAAAAATATCACAATATTCATACCATCACACTAGCAAGATCAAGAAAAGCTTTTTAGCACATTTTCTCATTTATGGAAAAAGGGTGCTATTGTGCTTGTCATGTCCGTCTGTCTGTCCATCCGTCCGTAACCACATTTTCGGCAACAAGAAAATGCGCTCTCTGTCACTCACTGCAGTGAGTACTGAGTTATATTTTTTGTTATGTGGCAGTCAAACAGTACAATTATAGTTTTGACTAGTATTATACATTTCTTAGTGAAGAACCGCAAGCTAAGTGAAAAATGGGGCAGAAGCCATCTGTGAATTAGACTAAAATGCCAGGCGTCTGGCCAATTTTATCTGTTCCTGTGGCATTTTGCCAATTTCTCTAGTAAAAATTATGAAACCAACCTACTCTCCAAAATTTTGAAAATCACCCATTAAATGATCACTTATCATTGTGCATTTCCAGAAGAATTGGAAGTGTTTAAAAATTAATATTTACAAGGTAAATCTGTTGGCAAGATCTTCTGAAGTTATAAATTTTGCTGCTAATGCATTGCTGAAGATCTTAAGATATTCTTTCATTTTCTACACATCAGGTCAAGTGTAGAACCTGTTGATTGTGACTTCTGAAGCATTGATAGTAATATGGAATATTGTGCTGGATTTTCTAAAAATCGCATATAAAAATTAAGGTTAAACCAGTGATTTTCAAAATTACACATCTTTTTTATCAAGAGAAATTAAGCAAAGTTTATAGAAATGCCAATTCAAAATATTGAGCAGAAATTTCCAAAAATCATGGGTGAAAAAAGATTGCTTCAATGGTGATTTTCATAATTTAGTCCAAAATGTTATTTATGAGGCATGTTTTTTAAGCAAGGACCGTTTTGGAATTAAAAAAAGACGTGCAAAGATACTATCACAATAATTTTATTTTTACATGAAAGCCTGTACCTTAATCTACTTTTCTACATAATTTCTGTGAATATTGAGGCACTTGTCATAATGTGGTACCAGTTTTTGAATACCCTCCTGATAAAATTTTGCTGCCTGACTTGGAGATGAAATTCTACTAAAATTCTGAATTCTGGTGAAATGTAGGTGAAATTCTGCTGAAAAACGCCTGAAATTTCTTCTTCCTGACAAGGCAGGTGGCAGAATTTTAGGCATTTTTCAGCAGAATTTTATCTCCATTTCAGCAGAATTTCACCTCCAATTCAGGTGGCAGAATTTTATTAGGAGGGTATTCAAAAACTGGTGCCACTTTATGACAAGTGCCTCAATATTCACGGACATTATGTAGAAAAGTAGCTTATGGTACAGGCTTTCATGTAAAAATAAAATGATTGCAATATCTTTGCACATCTTTTTTTAATTTAAAAGCGGTCCTTACTTAGTAACATGCCTCATATCTTTATTTCACTGAAGGAATTGGTCAAGAGTCATAAGAATAGGTGAAACTGACTATGAGCATGTCCATTTTTTGAAATGTTGCTAGTAACTTTTGCCTGATTGTCTAGCTTGGCCAATGGCAACTATGCAAATTTGAGTAATTGTGTTACAATGATCAGGCTTTTAGGCTCAAAATGTTGATAATATTATTATTGAAAATTTGTTGCCAGAACTACCTAGATCTTCTATTTCTTGCCAAAAGTGCATATAGATCATTCTGGAAGATTGGGCAGAAGATATGAATGAGATAAAAACACCCATGCTTGCAGTCCATTTCACCCATTTATAATGGCCCTTGCCTAAATTCTCTTAGAGGAAATAAGACAAATAACATATTTTGCCTGCAAATTTTGGAAAATTCAGCCTAATTTTCTGGATTGGCTTATAGAAAGCCATGCTTGATAAGATGTTTTGGGAGAATATTCCCTTGAAACTTGATCAGTCATGACATTTGTATTTCCAATATTATGGTCTCATCAAATGTCTTGGGGAAAATACAGTACGGTATTGGCCAGAAATCCAGTATCCAGTACCGTAAAATGGGGTAGCTTAGACCGGCGGGGTAACTTAGACCACTTTTCGTTTTTTTAACAAAAACCCCCACAACTCAAAAACTATTTGACATAGAAAAATTTTGTCAATGGGCATTAAAGGCCTAATACTGAGGCCACATAACACAATAGAAAAATTTGAAAAGTTTGCATATCTAATAGGTTAAAAAATTGAAAATGTGACCCACAAAAAAAAAGCTATTATTTAAAGCCGGTCAGAGTACCCCCTCCAATTTTTTTATTTTTTGGTTAAATAACTCCAGGTTTTGATGCATTGTAGTAGAACTCTTCTAGTTACATATGCAAACAACAAATTTTAGGAAAGTGTCATAGTTTGCAAATGGGGGGCGCCGCCCCCAAATGGGGTAACTTAGACCGCCTAATGTCAGCCCTGACGGGGTAACATAGACCGGCTTGGAAGTTAATATAAAATTACCATATATAACATATTTTATGTTTGTTTTTGCATGTTTCAATTCAAGTTTAATTTAGCTAGTAAAAAAATGGCATCATTTATAAAAATAAAAGTGGTCTAAGTTACCCCATTTTACGGTAATGAATGTATTGGCTATCAAAATACTTGAGAAAATTAGAAATCAAAACTTTCATATCATAACCTTGCTGTGTCATTGATTTAATTGAAGTAACAATTTTTCAGGATGGTCGATGTGGAGAATGCACTTCACATGTGCCCAACAAGGCCATATGGCTGTGTTTACATTCTGGTTGCCTGATGGTTCTATGTGGGGGTGAAGGCTCTAATGGTCATGCTGGTGAACACAATGCTGCTCTGCCAGGGCATTGTCTCGTCATGTGTCTTGACAATTTCAGGGTCTGGTGCTACCTCTGTGATATGGAGGTAAATTTTTATTGTAATTATTGTGCAGTTTTCTATTTTATTTGCGTTTCCCTCAAATTTGCACGTAAATCTAAACTCTGATTGTTTATTTTGTCCCAAGCTATTGGAAAGCCCGTTTTCTTTAGCTGCTTAGGAATCAATTAATACTCTAAATTTTAAGCTTTATGTAGTAATTACTATAAATGTCAGGAATGCAACAATGTATCTGAAACAAATGAAAGAACAAAATGTAATCAGAAACTAGTACTACGTAATCAGAAACTAGTACTACGTAACTAGTACTACGTAACTAGTACTACGTTGAGTTATTAAATTTCTGTGATTCTGTACTTATAAAATTTGAATTTGCATGCAGGTAACAGACTCAATTCACCAACAACTGCAGCTCCAGATTGGAAAGGAGAACGTGCATATTGATTCTGAAGACTGTGAGGAAGGTCTGGCTAGTAATGTTGGGAAATTTGAACCAATTACAGTGGATGAGGTTAAAGAAGAATATGATGTAGAAGACTCTGAAGATGACTCAGTGTCCATAATCTCATCTCAATTGAAACCTAGAGGTAGTATTTTAATTTTATATACTTTATCATATATATATATACCTATATGAAATGAATAATAGGCATGCGAGTTAATTAATTTAAAATTAAAGCCTTTAATGAAAGATTATTGTTTTTAGGACTATCAAATTATTTGAGCAACTAGTTTTAAAACTTTTTTTTTTTGCTTATTATTCTACATATTCTGCCATCAAATGTTGAATCTAATACATTTTTGAGTAATTGAGATCATTGTTTTAAGTAATTTGATGTCTCTAAGGTGTGGTGGGCTTACGCAACCTTGGCCTGACATGCTATATGAATGCTGCTCTACAAGTGCTTGGCTTCAGCCCTGGCATAGCTTCTTTCTTCCTCAATTGCCCTGGTTCCCTGATTGGCATTAAGTAAGTTCAAGGATCTTTTTCCAAGGAGTAATTGGATCATAATCAGGTGTCCTCATTGCACTATTTCTGACTTTTCTCAAATAAGGTGAAATTTTTGGCAGTGGATGAATAAATTGGTAATGTCATGCACACGTGTTCAATTTTTTGGTATCTAGTGTTGTGGATCTTTCCTTCTCAAGACATGACGATTTAGTGTAGACTGTAGAGTACCTACAATGGTAGCATTCTTGAATTGAAATAACATCATGATTGGGTATGGTGTGTAATAGTATCATTCTTGAATTGAAAATACATGATGAAGTATAATGTTTGTATTCTTGAATTGAAATTGACAAACAAAATTGGGTAACTGCTGGAACTCGTTAGAGCACAATGGAATAATTCCACACTAGTCTCCATCTGGTTAACATGGCAGTTATGGTATTCATGTAGGTATTTGTGATAGTTCAAGACATTTTTTTAGTGTTTTATAATTTTGAGGGAGAAATGATATAGTGAAATAGGAGCTTGTTTCGTTTGTATGATGAAACTTTAAAGTATTTCATTCATTTGTTTGTTGCAGGAAGGAACGACCCCTTGCTCTCACATACAGAGACCTCATCCGTGAGGCGTGGCATTCTGAATCGCCAAGCAGCATTGTGCCTTCTCAGCTTTATCATTGTTTTAAACAAGTATCTTCACTTCATAATCCAGCATAATTTCTAACTGCTTTACTATTGAGCTTTCAAATAATTCATGATCCTTTATTTATATCTCTCTTGTAATTAATGTGAACATTTTTTCTATTGCTTAATATTCATGAAAATATTGTAGTATAAATGACCTGTATTTTATCTGAAAATATTATTGCTGTTCGTTGTTTTCTTTACAAAGTTGAATGTTCAAGAAATTAATAGGTCATTTTATCTAAACTATTTTTCTGGTTAAAGAAATTTGACAGTTTCTTTTGTAATGCCATTAGTTTTGATAAATTGCAAGCATTTACTTGTGTATTAAGTATTAGCTGATGTTAATTATGAAACGGCTAACATGTAAGGATCATTAATGTTAGACCTATTTTTTGTGGGCAGCTGTATCCAATGTTCAGGGCATTCAGCCAGCAGGACAGCCAGGAGTTCTTGCGTTATTTCCTAGACGAGATACACAGCGAGCTGCGTCAAATGGTTCCTGCTGTGTACAATGAGCAAGATTCAGGTATGTGAGCAGTAACTTCAAGTTATGGCACTTGATCTCGTTTAAGAAATTATTAAATCAACCTATTTCTCTAGAGTATGTATCTTCAATATTCTTCTTGATTGTGTCACAGCTCCATTAAATGTCACGGTGAATGTCAAGAATAAACGAAAGACCATTTCTCTGCTACAATTTATTCATAGCATATTTTTGAATAAATTTCTTCCATTATAAGATAAATTAGGAGACTCTCAATTTCCTTAGCTCATAAGCATTATAGTATATCATTTATTATTTCAAAATTTGATTGTTATTTCTTTCTACAGCAAATCACTGCATATTCATTAAAACCATATATGAAATTTTTTAATTTCTTGCTGATTGCTTGAAGCAATATGTATTAAATGTTGTAGATGAGAGCGAAGACGAGTGCGACTCTGACTGTGAGCTACGCAGCGCGGCTGGCGAGTCATGCTGCTCCCTGGGCGACGCGCCGTCAGAGTCCCGCCTCTCCCGTGACCCCAGCGACGGCCACGACAGCGAAGAAAACAGATACGAGACATGCGACTCTGGTAAAATACGTTCTATCTTGAAATATATGTATAATTTGCTATTGGTATTCAAATTTCTTCACTGTATTAGTATTGTTACTTTGATGCATTCGTTGAATACTAAGTCTAAATTGTTCTGCTCGTCAGGAATATCATTCTGAAAGACAATTTAACAATTATTAACAATTAATTTTCTCACAACTCGGTCGTCTGTGACGTCAGGTGTGTCAGAGAGCGAGACTGATGGGTCTCCGTCCATGTTGTTTGGTGGCCGCAAGCGGCGACGACGACCTGCTCCTCAGAGCGACGTGGACTTCAGGGCAGCAGCACCGGCCAAGAGGTGAGATGGTCCTTTAATGATAATTAAATAATATAATAAGGACCATCTCATTATAATAATGAGATGGTCCTTTTTAATCAGATAATTTGGAATGTAAATATTTCATTGGGTAAATCATTTGCATTCATCGAATGTGAATATGTTTTCTCGTGTGAATTTGTTGACAACACTTCATTGAACACTGATAAATTGAAAAGACGCTATTACGTCTATTGGGATTCAATTAGCACTTGACGTCAATTCAGTGCTAGGTAAGCCCAATTTTTTTTAGTGAGTACAATGCAAAGTGTACCTATAGAAGAATGCTTTCCTCCAGTACAGACTGGTCAATAGTCAATATAAAAGCCTAACAGTCGAAGCTCTTGGAAATCAACCTTTATTATCGTTTGTTGAACCGAGCTTTGAACTATAATAGTTTTCTGTCACCATTACAGTGTTAAATCAAGCAATTCCTCTCATCTGTCACGTCACCAAGCCAAGTCCCTGCCCCACTCTGCCGTATCTTCCCCTCACCACTCGACCTCTCCCTCTCCACAAGCGCCTCCTTCACCAGGAGGACGGACTTTGTCGTCGCTGAAAACTAGCGGCATTGGGTCCTATGCTCCTTCGCTGGCATCTGCCGAGTCATGTTCAGGTTAGCATTTGTAATCAAAAAAGTTTCTTTAACTACCTCGACGTCCGTCAACTTTCAGATTTTGTCTAAGAATTGAAGTTCTATGAGAATGAAAACTTTTTGGACATTATTGCACCATAAATTGCCTATCTGAATACTAGTTGATTTTCTGCCGGTTCTGTGATCCTGACTGTATATTTCCAATAGATAAATATTTATGAGAGTAACAAAATTCTTTGCGCCTCTATCTAGCTGTCGCAGGAAGTGAAAACAATAGTTTAATGTTAGTATTTGAAATGGATAATAGTTTACTTGGTTCGTAGTGGAGTGACACTGATCAATTAATGCCTGAGTAGATAGGTCTATAGCTTATACGCGTTCTAGGTTGCCACTGCCTACTACTGTTGCGCGATTTCAAGACCGAGGCTTATATGGTCTTGCTACTATGACGTCACTGCATCAATAGCATCCGATAGTGGCAATTGTGTGAAAAATTCATATTTCTTTCAGAAATTTTGCTGGATTACAATTATTTATTTTTTTTTCCTATTCATTAATACGAGATTATTAAAATGACGTTATTTACTCAGGTTCTACAATGTCAAGCGGACGAAGGCAGTACAATAAGAATTCGTCAAAAAAACACCGCAGCAAGAAGTCTCAGCAGCAGCAATACTCGAGCAGCATCGTGTCTGACTTGTTCGATGGTCAGCTGATCAGCTCTGTACAGTGCCTGACGTGCAACAGTATCTCTGCCAGACGCGAGACATTTCAGGACCTTAGCCTGCCTATTCCTAGTGGCGAACTTTCCATTCCTGCAGATAAGGAGCACGGCTCAGATGGTTGGGTATGGTGGATGTTTCAGTGGCTTATGTCTTGGGTGTGGGGTCCTGCAGTTTCTCTTAGCCATTGCCTTAGTGCCTTTTTCAGTGCCGATGAACTCAAAGGAGATAATATGTACTCGTGCGAGAAGTGTGGAAAGCTGCGCAATGGGCTCAAGTTCGCAAAAGTTGTCAAATTGCCAGAAGTTCTGGTGGTTCATCTCAAGAGGTTCCGTCATGATTACATGTTCAGTTCTAAAATCAGTCAGCACGTGGCATTCCCGCTGTCCGACTTGAATCTGCAGCCTTACCTCCATAGGGACTGTGTGAGTGAAGTTTGTCAGTATTCGCTCTTCGGTGTCATCTGCCACCACGGTTCAGTAGTCGGGGGCCATTACACTTCATTGGCCCAACACCCCAAGACTGGTTCTTGGTTTGAATTTGATGACGAGACTGTGTCGTTCGTTAGCCCGGAGTATGTGCAGCGGTCGCAAGCATACGTGTTGTTTTACAAGAAGTCAAACCCTGAGGCAGAGAAGCTTCGGGGTCGTGCTTATGCCCTCATGCGATCGCACGCTCTCAATCAATCCCTTGTCAAGTTCTACATTTCTCGTCAGTGGTTCAACAAGTTTCAGTCATTTGGAGAATGTGGGCCAATCGACAACCGGGATTTCCTATGTCCTCATGGTGGCGTGCAGCCTAGGAAAGTCAATATTGTGAGTCTTCTTGTAAAGACTGTCAATGAAAGCCTCTGGGAGTTTCTAAAGGGGCAGTTCGGTGGCGATCCACCGTGCACAAGGCTCTACACCTGCCCCTTATGCACCTCCCAACACAAGGAGTTGGTAGCAAGGCAGCGCATCGAACTCAACACGTTCAAGGTTCTCAACAGGTTTGTTAATTCATAATATTAGTTTTCATTTTTTGGTATTTGCATAACCTATCGGTTGTAGTGATAGTTATGCTACATGACAATAATTTATAAAGTTCTCACGAATTTAAAGAACTTAAATCATCAGTCGCAGAATGAAACAAAATACAGACATGTTTTTTTCTATGCACAAGGAAGAATGTTTCTCTATATACATACCCATGTGGCTGTTTTTGCAGTCAATCCGATCAAGTGTTCGGTGTGTCGATGACCTGGTTCAGCCAATGGGAGAAATTTGTGTTGGACAAAAGTCACAACCCACCTCCCGCCATAGACAACACGAGCGTCATCAAGCAGTACCAACAACGCCATCACTCCCCTCTGGTATGATTTTGTATGCTTAACATTTTTTTATCACATCCAGTTTGAATTTCCCCATCCTTCATGCCTAATCACTTTGTATATATTTATTTTGTTAAAACGTTCATGGAGTATTGAGAATAACCTATTCAAATCGATGATAAAGGGTGCTGCAATCCATTGGTTCATGCTTTAATCTCTGAATTCCACACAAGCAGCATTAATGTGATAGCGAGCTACACGGAGAATGAACAATAAATGAACCATAGCCTCAATTCACTCTAGCAAAAGGATTTCCTTGTATAATTCTTCCAAATTTTAAAGTTTCCATTTTATTGTTTTGTTGATATCGTAGAATAATGTACGCTCTGTTTTTCTTAATTACCAACTTCTTTGTAGCTTTTCCGCTCAAACTCGGACTACGTTTCGATCACGGAAGAGTGTTGGAACTTCTTTCAGCACGTATATGGAGGAGGTCCTGCCTTTTGTCTTCGACCGCTGGAGCCTGTGAATCAATTCAATCAACAGCATCACTTGTCTCAAGATCACGGACAATTCCAGAGTTCGTTCGTGCACCCTCAAGCAGAGCCTGCTCGAGTTCACTCTAGACAGGCAAAACGAACCCTCCTGGTAGAAGAAGTTCATACCAGCAGCCGCTCTGGCACTTCAGATGACGAAAATTTACTTGCTAGAGCTAGAGTTTCCATTGAAAATTTGCCAAACACCCAGTCAAACAACCCTTACACAGCAGCCAAAGATTGTGCTGTATCAAATGACGATCAGAATTCTACACCTTTGGTCTGTCAGGAAGGTTCTGATGCCACAGATTCAACTGCTTGTGATGACCCTCCGAGTTTTTCTTCTCGTCTGCCTCTGGTGGAACAGCAAAGTGACTGCGAATACAACACTGAGGATGAGCCTGAGGAGACAGGAACGTTCGTTATCCAGCAAATTCAGGTAAAAACTTAGCTTTTAATGGTACTTTGCTGCGAAAAATCACCCAGAGTGCACAAATTAATTTAAAATTTACAATCTCTCTATATTTTTATTGAAGAATGTCAAAACAAGTGTTGTCTGTTTATTTCCTAACTTTGTTTATATTATTGAATTTGCATGTGCGTGTTCTTTTTAACACAAGTTTTGCAATTCCAGAATGAAGAACTTATTGACGGTAAACTGGTGACTGAGAATGAAGTTTCTGAGCCGCTTTGTGACGAAGTAGTGCTCCCTGCAGTAGGTAACCTGCAGCCGATTGCCTCAGCGTCAACGTCTCCTCTACTTCTTGATACCTCATTGGCTAAAGTAGATGCTTGTCAATTGCCTCAGGTAGACGCCCTTCATTTTTCCGAAGTATGTACCACTCCATTGCCGAGAGTAAAGGCCACTCGATCATTACCCGAAATAGATGCCGCTCCTTCATTCCCCGAAGTAGATGATCCTCGATCTTTCCCCGAAGTAGATGCCAATCTTTCATTCCCCGAAGTAGATGCCAACCAACCATTACTCGAAATAGATGCCGCTCCATCATTCCCCAAAGTATATGTCACTCGAGCTTTCCCCAAAGTTAATTCCACTACTTCATTCTCCGAAGTAGATGCCTCTCCATCATTTCCCGAATTAGATGCCTCTCCATCATTTCCCGAAGTAGATGCCTCTCCATCATTCCCCGAAGTAGATGCCACTTCTTCAATCCCCGAAGTGGATGCCACTCCTTCATTGGTTGGAGCCAGTGCCACCAACTCCACTGCGTCTTTGGGAAAGGCGTCTCAGACTTCATTAGTCGAAAGTGAGGTTGTGTCATCTTTTTTCACTAAGAAAGTCCGTGGCAATACAGTCAAGGAAACGAATTTGCAGGAGTGTGTTGCCTCGGAAAGTTCTTTTGAAAACAAACCAAACCTTCGGTCAAACAAACGAAAACACCGGCCTTCTGATCACACAAAGCCTAGGACTGGTCGCAAGACTAGTAGCGAATCGTTGCCTAATGTTCACAAGTAAATGACGAACTTATTCAATCGTCGAAATGCAAACTAATATCCAGTTAACTTAAATTTGCTTCAGTAGTGCTACAAATCTAAGTAACTCCAATTAATTTTTTTGACAAGTCTCATGCTACGAGTATTTTATTTAATCATCCAGCGTATGCATAACTGAATTCGCTCTGTCTGCAGACTAATTTTTAATTGGTTCGTTTGGCAATCTTTGTAATGAGACTATCGGTGTTTTTTAGTCATAGTTCATTTTCATCACGAAAGATATATATTTCTTAGCGCGTGTGTTGGTGTTTTATTAATTGTAGATTTCATTTTGTATTCGGATAGTTTTCATTATTTATGTTAATATTAATAAGGCTGTATATTATCGAGAAGATATGAGGTAATGCCCCCCCCCGTCTCTCATTTGAGCCTTATTGCTAATCATGGCAGAACACGATTACTCGCTATTTAAAATCCGACTTGACATTGAGTTAGTGAGAGTGATCGATTTATTTTTCAATTGCAGTTATCAGTTGTATTGTTAACGATTGATTTAAAGCATTTTAATTCTACATATATGCCTATTACTTTTGTAATAAGTTAGTACGTGATTTGTATTTTAGGTCATTCAAACTTTCGTCGTGAATTACGCATGGGAGCATCCATCATGAGAAAGTATTTTCTGTGTTTTTTTTTCTACTGTAGATGTGTATTATTTCTACTTTTAAACTCGTCCGCTTCTGCAATTGTGGAAGCAATGTAGTCCGGATCTCGGAACTTCGGAATTATCTAATGTATTTTTGTTGCGCGTGAGTCAAACGCATCGTAGCTAATCTATCCAGCAGGTCATTCCTCTAATTGGTGTAGACCGTGTAGGTGAAGCCATGTGATTTGAGTTTAACACAACTCATTCGCGATAAAGCTCATTGCTAAATATAAACTTTGTTGGCAGGGTTGTGTTTGATTCCAAATTCCACTTACCTACTGACACTGACTTGGTCTTGGGAAGTTGGGAGACTGGGAGTTGCCGAGTTGGGACTACTGACTTGGGTACCTAGTTGCCTTCGGTACACACTCACTACACACACGTGTCACACGACACGCCAGTACCTACGCCACACATGGGTAGGAGGTAGGTCTAGGAAGGAGTAGGTCGTGAAATTGAATTTAAGAGGGTTTGAACAGTTCAATCTTCAATGCAGCACATTGTCTAATTTGAATAATAGGCTATGGCAATTTGGATAATTCAGTGGGATAATAGGCTATGGCCCTGTGGAGCCTGGAGGCCCGTTGCCTGTGGAGGGCCTGGAATGGAATGGATTGCCAATTTGCCATCATTGCCGGGGATCATAGTGACAAACCAGAGATTTTTTAAAATCAGTTCATTTTTAATTTACTCAGGATTTTAACCAATTTCTTAAGTATGATAATGCTGGTAGGGTAAACGCGGTATATTCCGACATTGTGGGTAATTTCGTCACCTCTCTAGTTTTTCCTTTATATTAAGCTCAAGGACTACTACACACAGGACATGCATAGCCTATGTCCAGCCTCTGCTAGCAGAGGCGATCGCCTACACTATGAAAATGCTGTTGTTTTAGTGGCATCAACAAATGATATGCCCATAATTGTTTCATACAATAGTATT